AATCCTTAAAGGTTGGTTGCAGGTCAAGGGATGGAGGAAAACACACTGTCAAATCCTTGCGCACTATTTGTTCGCAATTGCGAAGGATTTTGTTCGCAATGGGAAGGAAATGCAATGAAATCCTTCGCAAGAATTTTACAGTGCAGCAACCAGTTTCAGGCTCCGCTCGGTAAATAAGGACCCTATCACTACCCAGTCAAGGGCCGCCGCATCGCTGAGGCTGAACTTCACTGTAAACTCCATAATAACGCAAGTTATCATAAGCTGATAACGCTGGTCGTCATTTCGAGTTTTTGTAAAATAATTTCTAAACGAGCAAGGACGGACGGGGAATGACCTCGTAGGCAGCACTTGAGCGGAGCAGCCATCAGTGCACCGCTTTCTGCACAATCACCCTCAGAGGAGGGTAACCTCCCGGAAACACTTCATTAAAATTTAATGAATAATATTTTTTGTAATAGTTGGGGTAACCTCTAGAAGGGTAAGCTCCAGGAAACACTACAATTAATGTTTAAATATGATTGTATCATTTATTAATTTTGCAACATTAAAAATATATAAAAGGGTGGGAGGTGACCTCTAGTATATACCCACTTCTAAATGCTGTAGCTCGTAAACAATATCCATAATATGCCGCCGCTAACATTTAGATACTTGCTTAAAGAATAGCTTTCGTTTGCCGTACGTTCATGTTTGGATTCGGGCATACGAATGGTTTGCAACCGCGTAGAACCCTACAAAACCGAGGAAGAAAACGACTGTTAAACTTTGTGTCAGCCGGATTACGGATTATCCGGATTACCTCAGGAGTATCCTCCGGATTACGTTGCTTTTTCTCTAGGATTATCCCGGATTGCCCTCAAATTTTTCCGGATTACCCCAAAATTTCGTCAAGGGTCACCTTGGACTGCTGTAAATTCGAAATGGAATGCCTCATTGGCCACCAGCAAATCCCTGATTTTGTGACGTTTTACGACACGTCATAGTCGAAAAGTTTTCTAACTTCATCAAGGGGTTTTTGGTCAAGGTTCTTGAACTCTAGGCAATGCTTATGTAAATCAGATCTCGCCACCAATTCGTGATTTCTGTGATTACTTTCTTCATTTTTAACAAAATAGAACTTTTCATCAAGTACGTAGATTATATTGAACTTTGCATGACAGTCCCGCTTGTAAGAGCTGTAAACAAAATGCGATTTGTAAAGCATTGCTTAATGAAGGTTAAAGAAACAACAATTGACTTACAGTAAAAGAATACGGGGCTATAAGTAAAGATATTTATTGATTTGGGCGCTTTGCTGTTTCTTCAATATGCTCATGCTCCCTGACTCCTCCATAGTGCTTGTAGGCCAGTATCGCATCTTTCCAATCAAAAGTCTCTGGCACTTCTGGACGGTCAGTCTTTAGCTTTCTATTATACCGCCCTCTCTTCGTACTATTGATGACAGTATATGGAACATGTTGTTCCAATTTATGCTTTGACTTTTCCTCATCAAATTCAGCTTGGGAATAAAACAAGCAGCGAGTCAGTGTATGAAAGCAGCGAGTCAGGTGTATCAAACGTATTTGATACATAAAAGGATTAACTCGTTCTTTACGTGTGTAAGTATTGTGTAAAGTCCTGTTTTCAGCTCAAATACTAAAGTAAAAAGGTTGTGTAAAAAATAATGAAAA